GGTACTAATTCCATTCCTGAACTTTATAAATTTATCTGATGGTTATAAAAAAGCCAATACTGCCACACATTGACACATCATAGAATCATAGAATCATAGAGTTAGAAGAGACCTTGTGGACCATCCAGTCCAAACTCCTGCCAAGAAGCAGGAAAGTCACATTCAAAGTACCCCCGACAGATGGCCATCCAGCCTTAGTTTAAAAACCTGCAAAGAAGGAGTCTTCACGACACTCTGGGGCAGAGAGTTCCATTGCTGAACAGCTCTCACAGTGAGGAAGTTCTTCCTCGTGTTCAGGTGGAATCTTCTTTCCTGCAATTTGAAGCCATTGTTCCGCATCCTAGTTTTCAGGACAGCGGAAAACAAGCTTTCTCCGTCCTCCCTATGACTTGCTCTCACATATTTATACATAGTCCTAATCATATCTCCTCCCAACCTTCTCTTCAGCAGGCTAAACATGCCTAGCTCTTTGAGCCGCTTCTCATGGGGCTTGTTCTCCAGACCCTTGATCCTTTGAGTCGCCCTCCTCTAGACACGTGCCAGCTTGTCAACATCTCCCTTCAATTGTGGTGCCCAGAATTGGAAACAGTGTGATTCCAGGTGTGGTCTGACCAAGGCAGAATAAAGGGGTAGCATAACTTCCCTGGATCTAGAACTATATCCCTATTTACGCAGGCCAAAATCCTATTGGCTTTTTTAGTTGCTGCATAACATTGTTGGCTCATGCTTAACTTGTTGTCCACGAGGACTTCCTTCTCTCTGTCAAGCCATATCTAAGTGAATATGTGGTAATCTTGAATAGGAAGAACACCCGAGATATCCTCCCATCCATTAAAAAAAGTCTGAAAAAGAGTTTTTGTATTGGAACTACCACTGTGTTCATTAATATCTACATGGTTGGCAAATTAGTGACCTTCTGTTAATTTAATGGACTTTGTATTTCAGTCTACTGAAGCTACCCAGCTGCTTGGCATAAGACATGGACTAAGACAAAACAGTCATTTGGAGGTTAGCAATATGAGTATCTCGCAAAAAAATGTACTAAACATTTTAACTCCCCCACCTTAATAAACATGGTTCATGGTTTGCAACAGGCCAGACTGTGTGTTTGCTAGAGACAAAATGCCAGGTTGGACAGAGTTTACAAAAGTTGCTTACTTTTTTCTTTTTCAAAGCCACAGGTGGCCTAGCTAAAAGTCTATAAGTGCCCATCTGTGTGTTTTTGTCTATGCTGAAAATCAAACTTAGGAAGGCTTCATTAAGGCATCAGGATTGCAATTTTGTTAATGTCAAGGACCACTATTGCTCTTTGAAATGAGTGGCATTTTTCATCCCGCTGAGGCAGAATAATCATAATCAACTAAGTCATTCAACCTTTCTCCTACGGTTTTCGACAGAGTTAATTTCCCACTATGAACGATGAATAATCCCTGTTCTGCTTTTGCACAAAGTTATCTGAAATGAATCACAGGGCTTTTGGTTTTGGCAAACACGAAGATAACATTCAGCCAATCAATCAGCTTGCCAAACGACCACAGAGTTTTACATCCAATACTGTGGCTGCTTTCCAAAGATACTGATTTCTCTCTCAAAAGCTTTTTAGCTCAAAAGCATCCAAACATTTTAGGAAGACTTGGCTACATTTTTGTTTAGAATCAATAATAAGTAGCAATTATCAACTTCTGCAACAGGCTGAGAATTGGCAAAAGACAGGTACCATTACAAAGAAAGTCTCCTAACAAGGATGTAAAGTTGCTCCTAACAAAGATGTCAAGACTTTCACGTTATAGCAGGTTATCCCCTTGTGAACTCCTCTGGACTATTATCTAGCTACAATGGGCATAAAGAAGAAATGTTGAAGCTGATGTCTGTATAAATACACCATTTACTTCTGGGCGCCTTTCCATACAATTCCTGATACACAACACTTTTTTGGGTTTAAGTCCTGGAGCCTGTGCTAAAGTTTGTCAGATGATAAAACAGATTAGACTATCTAATACATGGGTCCACAAACTTTTTAAACAGAGGGCCAGGTCACAGTCCCTCAAACTGTTGGAGGGCCGGATTATAATTTGAAAAAAAAACATGAATGCACACTGCACATATCTTATTTGTAGCGCAAAAAACACTTAAATGCAATACAATAATTAAAATGAAGAACAATTTTAACAAATATAAACTTATTAGCATTTCAATGAGAAGTGTGGGCCTGTTTTGGCTGATGAGATAAGGTTGTTGTTGTTGTGTGCTTTCAAATCGTTTCAGACTTAGGTTGACCCTGAGCGAGGGCCAGGTAAATGACCTTGGAGGACCGTATCTGGCCCTCGGGCCTTAGTTTGAGGACCCCTGACACATTGTGTATGGGCAAACCCAGGCCCGGGGAGCAGATGCGGCCCCTTGGGTTCTTTTCTCAGACCCTCCTCTCTCTCACCATTCTATCTTTTCTTCCTTCCATCTCTCCCTCCTTCCCTTCTACCTGGTTGCCTTCCTTCCTTCCCTCCTTCCTTCCTTCCTTCCTTCCTTCCTTCCTTCCTTCCTTCCTTCCTTCCTTCCTTCCTTCCTTTCCCTTCCTTTCTTTCTTCCTTCCTTTCCCCTCCCTTCCTTTCTTCCTTTCCTTCCTTCCTTCCCTTCCTCTTTCCTCCTCCCTTCCCTTCTCTTTTTCCTTCATCCTTTCCTCCTGGGGATGTTTAGCTGGGAGAAGAGAAGTTAGAGAGAGGGAACATGGGAACCATGTTTCAAGATTTAAAAAGGTGTCCCATTGCTGAGGAAGAGGGGAAAACTGACTTTCTGCTGCTCTAGAGACCAGGGCACAAGGGAGCAATGGTTGCAAATGGCAGGGAAAGAGATTCGACTGAAAATATTAGGAAGAACTTCCTGAGAGGAAGAGCTGTTGGAGAATGTCATAAGCTGACTGGAAGTGTGGTGGAGTCTCCTCCTCTGGAGGCTTTTCTGCAGAAGCTGTCTATCAGGAGTGCTTTGATTGTGCCTTCTTGCATGGCATGGGGTTGGACTGGATGGCCCTTTGGGGTCTCTTCCAGCTCTAAGATTCTAGGATTCTAGATTGGGAGTAGACAATATGGGGGTCTAATGGATACACTTTTTCTCTCTCCCATCCACCACCTCATCCTGACCAAGGCTAACCCTTTTGGGATTCAAACGTTTCCTGCCTTTCCTTCACTTTCTGCCTCCAAAAGAGAAGAGGAAGGAGAGGAAAGGGCAGGGAGGGGGCTTTGGGGGGAACCCCCTCCCTTGCAGCCCACTCACCCCACTCTGGTCCACCATGTAGCCCACAAGTTAGAAAGTTTGCCCATGCCTATAATACATGTTATCTTTAAAAGTGATGGTCTTAGGAGCAACTTCTGATTCATTCCCGTTGTCGAAGGCTTTTATAGCTGGAATCATTGAGTTGCTGTGGGTTTTCCATGCTGTATGGCCATGTTCCAGAAGCATTATCTTCTGACATTTTGCCCACATCTATGACAGGAATCCTCATAGGTTGTGAGGTTTGTTGGAAACTAGGCAAGTGAGGTTTATCTATTTGTAGAATGTCCAGGGTGGGAGAAAGAATTCTTCTCTGTTAGAGGAAAGTGTGAATGTTGTATGCTACAGATATATAAACCTCACTTGCCTAGTTTCCAATAGATCTCACAACCTCTGAGGATGTCGGCCACAGATGCGGGCAAAAAGTTAGGAGAGAATGCTTGTGGAACATGGCCATATGCCCCAGAAAACTCACAGCAACCCACAAGTACTGTTGCCTTTTGCATCTTTATCACAAACACTTGTCCATTCAAGCGACAGGTTGCAGGCATAAAAAACCCAAGACGCAGCCTTTTCCATTACTTCCACAAGGTAAGCCTATTTTATGCCTCCTCCATTTAGGACAGCGGTTCCCAAACTTTGGTTCTCCAGGTGTTTTGGACTTCAGCTCCCAGAAATCCCATACCAGCTGTTTGGTCTTCCAGGTGTTTTGGACTTCCTAACAGCTGGTATGGGATTTCTGGGAGTTGAAGTCCAAAACACCTGGAGGACCAAAAGTTGGGAACCACTGATTTAAGAGAAGCTGAAAGTGGAAAACCTAAAGCTCTAGGGAAAGATCTGGCCTTAGTGTGTTCCTCAGATGGTCCTCTTCTCCATTACCCCATTATTTGGCAGCTTATTCACTTTTTATATGTCTGTTTCTATTCTAAAAGGTTGAAATAAACCGTTCTAAAATCTATTTTAAATATTTTGCACAGTCCTAAAGGTTGAAGTAAGGTTTTCTTGGGTTGTTGTAGGTTTTTCGGGCTGTATGGCCATGTTCTAGAAGCATTCTCTCCTGACATTTCGCCTGCATCTGCGGCAGGCATCTTCAGAGGTCTTTTGGAAACTAGGAAAATAAGGTTTTCTTGCTGAGCCTTTCAGCTACACTTTTTTTCCGTGTCAGGAGAAACTTGAGAAATTGCAAGTCACTTGTGGTGTGAGAAGACTTTCAGCTACACTAGAGTAGTATTTTGGTCCCATGTTTTTGCACTGAACCCTACATCCCCTTTTCTCTTTTTTTTCTGAAAACTGAACTCAAGAAGAGGTTTGCCATCCTTGATATAAACAAGCCCACAGTGGAAGCCAGGAGAGCTAATCTTTGCTGGGAGAAAATCAAGCTGACTTCCCTTGCAGATACCTACTGTGAAGTTGCTGAATTCATGCTTTATCTCTTTTTAAATAGAAGGAGTGAGATAAGTCCACCTGTGAAGTTATAGACGTTAAGCAAATACTTATAATTCATGAAACAAACAAATCCTCTGGCAGACTCGTGAAGCCATCAAAGCTTCCAACGCCTTTCGCGGAGACATTTAATCACAGCAGTGGGAAAGTTTCATGAATTAGGCAAAGACTTGGCTGCTGTCGTGAATTAAGCACAAGCTCTGCTTGTTGCAAGACTGAAGCAATTTTATAAATTTCGCATAAGACACAGAATACCAGTAATAATAATTTGCATTTTTGCCATCTCCTGCCAGTACCTTCTCCATTTTTATTGAGATTGCTGGGCGTTGTGAGAGGTCTGAGTGGAATAATGATGTCGTCCACTTTAATCCCTTCCTCTGAATGCTTCTCGGAGACGTGAGACAGCAGCTCCGACTGGTTCGGGGAAAATAAGTTACAGAGCTTACACATGAAGATAGATTTGTTCCCTGGAAAATAGAAAAGAAGTTTTAAAAATGGGTTATTAACATTTTTTGATTACAATAGTTCATTTGAAAATCCTTAACAGTATTCATGTTAAGCTCCTTTTTGGTGTTCCTTTGGCACCTGAGGTTTAAGCATTATGCTATAGCTATTTAAAAAAGTACAGCAAGCTCAGTCAGAAGGGTTTTTTTAAAAAAAATAATATTAAAGTTGAATGGCTTAAAGCCACATATATGAGTTGTCTTCCACAACTGGCGATAGGACTTGGCTCATTCACTGGTTTAGTACAACCCACGGAAACTCAAACTAGTTCAATGCAGTGCATAGCATGGGAACAAAAAGTGCCAAAAGAGCATATAATCTCAGCATTGTTATAAGATGACTAGAGTACATGTTTGTGCACTGTTTTCAAGTTAACAACAACTTTCAAAGGACTAAAACAGCTGATTGCACTGACATGATAAATAAATAAATAAACTGCTGATGATTGCTCCATAATAATGAGCACTGAGAGACAAGGAAGTTTTGGGCCCATTGAATATGCACTCATGAACAAGCATTAACACAAGGCATTTAGCATTGTTATTGATTTATTGATTTATTMATTTACTATATTTGTATACCGCTCTTCTCKGCCCTCAGGGCGACTCAGAGCAGTTAACAAAGCAAATACAATACACAAACATGATAAAAACAGTTAAAAACACGTTAAAAGAATAACATAACAATCAATAAACATCATAACATCTCATCTCGTCTCATAGTTAAAATCAAGATCCAGTGTCATCATCCAAATGTTCCATATTTCTATATTAGTTACACTGCCTATTCAAATGCCTGCTCAAACAACCAAGTCTTCACTTTCCTSCAAAATGTGAACAGGGAGGGGGCTGATCTAATTTCTTTGGGAAGGGCGTTCCACAGCCGAGGGGCCACCACTGAGAAGGCCCTYTCTCTCGTCCTTGCCAACCGTACTTGTGATGCAGGCAGGACCGAGAGCAGGGCCTCCCCAGACYATCTTAACGTCCTAGCTGGTTCATYGGAGGAGATACGTTTGGACAGGTAAGTTGGGCCAGAACAGTTTAGGGCTTTTGATGCTTTAATAACAACAACAACAACAACAACAACAACAACACTTTATTTATATTCCACCCTATCTCCCCAAGGGGACTCGGGGCAGATCACAGTACACATACACAACAAACATTCAATGCCATTTGGAGAGACAGGACAGAACAGACAGAAAGGAGGTATGCTGTGTTGACGTCCAGCTTTCAGCGTCTTTGGAGGTTGTGCTCAAATCCAGCCACAGGGGGGTGCTGTTGCTCCATCCTCTATGACAAAGAGCCATCAGGACTACCTCCTTCCTTTTGGTCACCAGAATGTTCTGGTCTTTTTTTTTTTTTGTGCTATTGTAAAATACCTCCCTCTTTTTTTAGTAGTACCTAATTTCTCTACTTAGAGCTCTAAGCTGTTTTCAAACTGCTTAGGTAAACAGTGAGCTGGGCTGACTGTCGGGTGCTCACCCCGACTGAGGCTTTGAACTGGCAACCTTTTGGTTGGTAGATCTTATTGCTGCTGGTGATGATTTACCAGCTGTGCTATAGCCCAGCCCTTTTAATCTCTCTATGCTATTGGCTTCCATATGCATATTTTGCACTTCCAAATAGGGGTGGATATTGTACTGCATGCAGCCCTCAGAAGTCACTTTTCTGCCCTCCCAACCCCAAGTCAACCCATCTTTTTAGAAATGGATGCAATTTTAGGATAATTTTTGCCCCAAATGAAAGATATATGCCTAAAGGAGTAAAGCCGTCCTCGCTCCCCAAATTTATTTATTTATGTCCCATATTTATACCCCGCCTTTCTCCCCACAAAGGGGGACTCAGGGTAGCCTAACAAAAACATCATACGATGTTAGCATCATAAAACAACCACAGTACAATTAAAAATATTAAAAATTAAAACAACAAATAAAACAAGTAATTAAGTCACATCCATTAAAATCAAAATCCAAAAACCAGTCCGGGTCAATTCAATGCCATAAGTTGTGTGAACTTCTTCCACTTGCTGCTCACTGATCAAACGCTTAGTCCCATAACCAGGTCTTGATTTTCCTTCTAAAAGGCAAGAGGGAGGTGGCCAATCTGATATCTCTAGGGAGGGCTTTCCATAGCCGGGGGCCACTGCTGAGAAGGCCCTGTCTCTCATCCCCATCAACGTGTTTGCGATAGTGGTGGGATCGAGAGCAGGGCCTCTCCTGAAGATCTTAAACTTCATGATGGTTCGTGGCAGGAGATACGTTCGGATAGGTAGTCTGGGCCAGAACCAAAGCACCCCAGAATTCCTTGTTACCTTCGAAGACCCATATTTCCCTAGGCAATCCCTCTCAAAATGACACTATTTCACTTCCTGCCATTGGCTGCCATTCAATTTCCCATCCCAATTCAAGGTGCAGGTGCTTACCTACAAAGCCCTAAATGGTTTGGGACCCGCCTACCTACGTGACCGCATCTCTGTGAACGAACCCACACAATCTCTTCGTTCATCTGGAGAGGCCCTGCTCACGATCCCACCTGCATCGCAAGCGCGATTGGTGGGGGCGAGGGACAGGGCTTTCTCAGTGGTGGCCCCTCAACTCTGGAATTCTCTCCATAAGGACATCAGGCAGGCCCCGTCGCTAGCAATCTGTAGGAGGAGCTTGAAAACGTGGTTCATCCAATGTGCCTTTCCAGAATAAGGAATCTCCTAGCACTATGTCCCAACGCACTTTATCAGAGATTCAGGATATCTGCATGCCCATCCCCCTCCAAACACCCCACCTTGTCATGCCCAGCACTTTTAATTTTAATTGTTACTGTGCAGAAGTCATTGATACTATGTATATGTTTAACTGTTAGAGTATATGTTTGTGTTTGTAACAGTAGCTAAGACTAGAGTTATCTGGTTTGAATCCACAGTGAGTGTTGCCAAGGAGACTGGGCAGGCTAGCTCAGGAGAGTGAGAAGTGGGTGGAGCCAAGGAGGAGAAGTTATCTGCATCTTTGGAAAAGGGGCAGTTGGAGTCTGAGAGTCAGTGTGTGAGAGTGGAGGCTTGAAAAYCCTGGGAGAGAGGTGTGTGTGAATAGCTAAAGGTTTTTCAGTCTAGGAGGGCTGAAMGGAGAAACCTGACCAGTTTCTTTAGTTAAAGTAGACTAAAGGAAGCTTGTTAAGATCCCTAGTCGAGGAAGGACTAGAGATCAAGGATTTGATCAAGGAGAGATCAAATTGGAAGGCTATTCATATTAGGAAACATTGTTCACCAAAGTGCCTCACCTCAGTAAAAATTAATCATGAGCTGTGTCATCTAGAAGAGAGGACTGTGTTACAAACTAAGTTATATTCAAAGTTCTATAAGTTATTTAACAGCCTGCAACCATACGCTTTGTACACAATAAACTTGTTAACTTTTGTTGAAGACCGTCTCATCTCCATTAATCTGCGTCTGTAGAGCCAGATCTCATCAGTGGTACCTCCAATACCTCACGTTGGTGGCAGTTACCTTAAATTACAAATAACAATTGGCCTCCTCTATAACATATTCTTATCAACAATAGAGGCCTGAGATTAATTCCCTCCATAATCATCCACACCTGTACAATTGGTGCGTGTGTCCTGTACAATTGGAGACAGAGGTGGGATCTTTAAAGATAAAATCCCTATACCCTGTCTATTGTTGGGTTTGCAATTGTACATTACAATTGGACGGCCATTGTTTTTAATTGCGTCATTGGATGTTGTTAATTGTTATTGCTTTGTTTTTTGAGTTATTTTGTTGTTGTTGCTGCTGCTGTATTTTATTGTTATATTTGGGCTCGGCCTCTTGTAAGCAGCACTGAGTCCTTCGGGAGATGGTAGCGGGGTACAAATAAAGGTTTATTATTATTATTATTATTATTATTATTATTATTATTATTATTCCTGTCACCTTTTTGTAAAGGTTCTACCTGTATTATTGAACAGATCTTCCTGCCAGTCACCATATTTTGAAGTTTTTAGTGGCAGTGGGAAAGGAAAGGAAATAACAAAGCCAAGTAGAGATAGCTCATTTCAGAGCTCAAAGTCCTAAATCCAGGCATCTCTTACCCTAATGTGGAAAATGCACACTCCTGGTTAAGCCTTTGACTTATTATCCTGCCCTTTTCTCCCACCTCTTCTCTCACCCTTTGATTCTTACCCATTAAGCCAGACATTTCCCTGCAGAGATAAGTGCAATGTAAATGCAAGGATAAATGGAAAATAGTTTTATACACTGTATAAAAATGATTACTACCACCGTCACCATCACCATTTCTATTACTAAAGCTGCCGCAGAGCCCTTTAGCAGCTAAACAAATATCCTCTAGGTAACTGATAAATCAGTTGACAATTAAGACTAGGCGTCAACAGGACAATAACTGAAAGAGCCAATTAAAGTCATAGAATCAACTAAGCGATATTCAGAATTAAACATGAATAGAATTGATGATCAGGGAGTGGGTAATTAATTAAGAGGGAAGTCAACAGAGCGATTAATTAGACAATGAATTAAATATGCAGAGAATCAAAGAAGCTGTTAATCCATTAAGTATGCAGGTACGCCAAGAGTAAGGGAGGTGACACAACCCGAAAAACGGCGTGCTGCACGCAATCTTCTCCTTGTGACTAACCAATCTAAAACCTAATTTACTATTCCAGTACCTTCTAATTTGATATGAAAGCATTTTGAAAATAAAAATAGAATTGATCAACGGTTGTCACTGTATCACAAGTCTTTTAATATTTACCTCTCCTTGAGCTCCGGCTCTAAACATACTTATTAGATTAAGATCCATAGAAAGGTCACATAAACGTGACTTGCTTTCGAACATAGCTGGACTTTTAATTTCACCGTGCACAATTTAAATTTATCCAATTTATGCTGTACAAGACTATTAATGAAAATGCATGCATAAGTTCCGTCCTCCCATTGGGAAAGGGTTTCAAGT